CGAGCAGGCTCTGGTTATGGAACAGAAGTAGTTACTCTTTTGAGGAAGGAGGCCATCGAGGTGGTCCTTCCTCATGTAGCAGAGTCCGGGTTCTACAGTAGGTACTTCACCATTCCGAGGAAGGATGGAGGGTGGCGTCTTATTGTAGATCTGCATCATTTGAACCACTCAGTCAGGCGACTGAAGTTCAGCACGCTCGCACTCAAACGACGATGTAGGCACATATGTCTCCTGCTCGGATCGAGTCTATCCTCGTCGCAAGAGTGAGAGAAGGCCGGTCACTCACTGTCAAGCAGTTCCAGACTGCTGGGTCTGATGGCAGCTGCGTCCAACGTGGTTACTTTTGGCCTGCTGTACATGAGACCCCTACAGTGGTGGCTTAAGACCAAGGGGTTCTCCCTGAGGGGAAACCCGCTTAGCATGCTCAAGGTCATGCGGAGGTGCCTTAGACATGTGGAGGAAACCTTGGTTCTTGACTCAGGGCTTGGTGCTGGGAGCTCCTTGTCGCCGCTTTAATGCTAGCGACGGACGCGCCCCTCACCGGTTAAGGAGCGGTCATGAGTGGCTGCTCGGCCCGCGCGGTCTGTGGAGCGGCCGCCATCTCACGTGGCAACTGCCTGGAGATCCTGGCCGTGTTTCTAGCAAAGTTGAAACACGTTCTCCCGGACCTTAAAGGTCGCCATGTGTCGGTGTCCACCTGCGACACAGCGGTGGTCTCTTATATCAACCACCAGGGAGGTCTGCGTTCGCGCCCCTTTTACAGGCAGGCGCACCAGATCCTTGTGTGGTCCCTGGGCGAACTACTCTCGCTGAGAGCAGTTCACATTCCTGGCCGGGCCGAGTATGGTTCTCGGACCTGATTCCTCTACTCGACGGCGCTCCATGGGAGATTCCCGTCAGGAGAGTTCTCCTCTCAAAGGTGGAGGGCGCGCCCCCGCCCGGAGCTGTGGAAGCTGTGGGGTGGCCTCTGAGGAGGCACAAATCATAGCTTCTGGTCTCTCAACCGAGGTTGTTGAGACCATCCTCCATCCAGAGCTCCCTCTATGAGGAAACTGTACTTCTTGGTGTGGAGACCGCCAGCTCGACCCAGCTAACTGTCCGTTTGGTACAGTTCTGAAGTTCCTGCAGGCCTGTTTATCCGCAGGGTTGACCCACTCCACCCTAGAGGTCTTCGTGGCGGCCATTGCGGCCTACTACGCCCCTCTCGGTGGCCATTCAGTGGGAAGACACCCTCTTCTTACACGTTTCCTCCGCAGTGCGCTGAGGCCGAGGCCTCCGGCCAGAGAAGCTTATGCTAGGTGGTGGATCAGGATGCAATTCCATAGCCTTGAGCCCTCTGATCTCCCTTCTCCTTCTGGGGGTCAAGGCTCACTCCTCCAGAAGTTGGCCTTCGGGGCGGCGGGCCCCGCCTACTTTAGCCATTCCTGGCTCCCTTTATCTCGCCTTAGTTGTGCTCTTCCACACTAGGCAGGGATTTGCAAGTCTGGCGGCATGGGCATTCTCATTCCCGTAGTGTTTCGACGCAGCTCAAGTTCCTGAAGGGGAACGTCTCCAGGTTACGCATGTAACCATGGTTCCCCGAAGGGAACGAGACGCTGC